GGGTAGGGGTTAATGGCGGGGGGGGCAGAGAGGCTGCACCCAAAGAGGTGACTTCTCTCTCCGCTCACACTGGGGCCTAAAAAGAAGTTGCAGCAGCTCCAGCGTGAGTTGTCTCTTGAGCAAGAGGTTGGGTGAAGGGCTGCGGAAATCTTTTCCTTCAGGATTCAAAGATTGACCTTCTGGACCGCAAGGAGGATGTGAAGAAGAAGTTGAGGAAGGCTTTCTGCGAGCCAGGGAACGTGGAGAACAACGGTGTCCTCTCCTTCATCAAGCACGTCCTCTTTCCCCTCAAGTCAGGTGAGGGGCTCACCACGCTCGGGCGCTGGGTCTGGTTTTTCCTGTGGGTAAGTGGAGGGGACAGGAGCGCGTGTCCCCTGAAGCAGACTGCCCCGGAGTGCCCCCTCGCCAGTCCCTGCTGCGGTCCCCCTCCGCTCTTGGGCTAAGTGGGGCAGGAGGTTTATCTGGCTGAGCAGGGGGTGAGTCTCTGGGTTAATCTGAGCCTTCAAATCTGTGTGTCGCAGAGTTTGTGGTTCTGCGAGAAGAAAAATGGGGAGGAAACAAAACCTACACAGCCTATGAGGCCCTGGAGAAGGACTTTGCTGAGCAGGTGAGTGCTGGGATGGACTGAACCCTCTTCCTGTCCCTGAGGCGCCCAAGAGCTCTCTGTGGGGTCTCTGAGCAGCAGTGGGAGAGGGAAATCTGCACCACGAAGGGGTGCGGAGCAGAGCGTGGCCCCGTAGGGTGGCAGGGTGCTCCCAGCCAGGAGGCCCCGACAGTGAGAGGATGGGTGAAGGCTGTGGGGGCAGGACAGGACCACGTCAGCCACGTCCTGGAACAGAGCAGCAGTTTAGCTGGTTTCAGCTGTTCCCAGCTGAGGCTGCAAGTCCAGAAGAGGGGCTCTGATGTCCGAGGGGGAATCAGGCCAGGGGTTGGCGTTCATCTCCCTGCCCTCCTTGGCCTCCAGTTCCTACCTCTCTGGCCTCAGATCAGCGGATTCTGCTGCTCCCCCTGCCCTGGAGGAACCCATGCAGGAACCGGTCTGTTTGTCACGATACAGGTCGTGCATCCCGGAGACCTGAAGAACTCGGTGGAAGTGGCTCTGAACAAACTACTTGATCCCATCAGAGAGAAGTTCAACAGCCCGGAACTGAAGAAGCTGACCCACATGGCGTATCCCACAGCCAGTAAGGAGGTGCTGGGAGCTGAGGGAAGCGGGGCCCTGGCCACACAGGGCTGGGTGGGAGAGAGTCCCTCCAGGAGCTGAGGTTAGAGAGAAGTTCTGAAACTTCAGTCTCAGGAGCAGCCCTGGAGAGCGTTAGGAAGGTGAGGAAAGCCCAACGCCAGGGCTGTATGCCCACCCTGGAGAGAACAGATGCCAGTGTGCTTCTCTGGTGCTTGAGAGGCCGGCAAAGCAGAGGAGGGACTGTCCTCACCTCATTTGGAGGTCACTGTGTGCTCCCCAGGGCCTCGCCAGCTCCCTGGGTTTACGCTGAGTGGCCCAACTGTTCCCTTTGCACTGCAGAGCCTGCAGAGAAGCACACCAAGAACTCGGAGCCGGAGAACATGGTGGTCCCATCCCAGCTGAACATCCGTGTTGGCAAAGTGATCAGTGTGGAGCAGGTACGGGCACAACGGGTGAGAGGGGAGTAACCTTCCCTCATGGTGACATGGGCACTCGGGGTGTTTGTGGGCTCTCCCTCCTTCTTCTCTGCCACCCCAGTCCCCTTCTCTGCTCCTCACCTTGCTTCTGCTTGGCAGCACCCGGATGCTGACAGCCTGTACGTGGAGAAGATCGACGTGGGCGAGCCTGAGCCCCGCACCGTGGTCAGTGGCCTGGTGCAGTTCGTCCCCAAGGAGCAGATGCAGGACAGGCTGGTGGTGCTGCTTTGCAATATCAAGCCCAAGATGATGAGGGGCGTGGAGTCGCAGGGCATGGTGCTGTGTGCCTCCAGGTGAGGGAGGGGGGCATCGGGGCCGTAGCCTTTCAGGGGTACAGTCCAGACCCCCCTTCTCCTGCCTCGGAGCCCAGTGGGGCTGAGGGGCCGGCGAGTACCGCCTTGGGCTGACTCGGCTTCCT